TCTTCTAGATCAGGGGTCAGCAGACTTTTTCAGCAGGGGGCCAGTCCACTGTCCCTCAGACCTTGTTGGGGGCCGGACTATATTTTGGGGGAAATGAGCGATTTTGACCCGTCCGCAAAGAGGCCTGAAGATGTTTGGCTTTACCTGTCCCAGTTGTCGTCCCAATAGCCCAGTTGGGATTCTCCACCCAGGTGCCAGGGCAGGGCAGGAGGCTGCGTTGGCCGGTGAAGACAGAAGCAGCATCCCTGGCGGAGCTTTCCAACTTTGCTGGGAATCTAGCCCTGTGATCCAGACATGCCCATGTCAATCACACCTTGTTTCAACATCCATCTAACACAAGGAAAAGAAAATATCCCCCCATCATCACGGAGGTCCACTTCCGAGGGTCTTCTGGCAGTTCCCTCACATTTACAGGGTACCAGGCAGAGGGCCTTCTCGGTAGTGGCACCCTCTCTGTGGAACAATCCCCCCCCCAAATATCAGATGTCAAAGAGAGAAAGAATTCCATACCTTTTGGAAGACCTCTGAAGGCAGCCCTGTTCAGGAGCAAGGCGGAGATCTCTCAGAAGTGGAGGCTTTGCGCTGAGAGATCCCTGCCTCCACTCCTCCTTGCACACAAGTAGGAGCAGCAGCGGGAAGCTTGGCTGAGGAGCGGCTGGCTGCCTTCAAGTGGTGCAGGGGCTCTCAGGTGCAGCTTCCGGGCTGCCTCCACCTACCCCAACCCCAGCAACTATTCAGCCTGGCTGCCTTCACAGGGTTGCAGGGGATCCGAGGCGGAGGGGGGGCTCCTTTAAAATTCCCCCTTGAGGGAGTGCAGCCTCAAAGCCCTCAACGGAAAGGGTGACGGAGCCTGTCCCTCCCCAGCTCAGCAGCCCCCATCCAGCTCCTCTTCCCATGCAAGCAGCAACGCTGCCTAGCGGAGCAGCCCCATCCCATGCCTACTTGCCACCCGGCCCACCTTCCCTCACAAGGAAAACAGAAGTCTGGCACTCAAAATGGAAGTTATACTCAGAACAGAGCATGTTCGGCTTCCAAAAAGAGTTCCAAAACTGGAACACTCGTTTCTGGGTTTGAAGAGTTCAGGTTGCAAGTAGTTTGAGAACTAAGCTGTTTGAAAACTGAGGTACCACTGTATTTATTTTCCCCAATTACAACTGTATTTATTCCCTCCCCCGGTGGTGATTTTCCTGAGTCAAAATGAGAGTACTGTAGGGATCAGATGGGATTACCATGAGGAATTATAAAATATACATCAAGCCATCGTGTCCACGATGAAGGCATTGTGTTGACTGGGTTTGATATATTGACGATAATTTCTGATTAAATCCCATAAGATTCTACATTCGTGCCCTTTTCCCTGTTGCCCATTTCTCCTGTCATGTACACAGCCCCGTTGCTTCTTGCTTTGCCAGGGAGGCATCCTGGGCCATAAAAATAGTGGGCAAGTTTCTTTGAAGTAGGGTTCTATATGGTAATCTTAGGATGTTAATCTTAGGGCCAGGAAACAGATCTCACATGAAGGTGATAATGATCCGCTGTCCTCCTGGCCATCCTCCTTATCATGTGTATTGCTTGTTTATGACCTCCAGGGTTGCTAAATGCTCTTCTTTGTTTACCCCAGAAATATTTGTGCTTAATTAGTTTTAGTAGTTTAACTTTCTCTCCACGTGGGTTTGTGGAAATGCTCAGAAGAAATCTGATTAGTTCTTACGAACACTCTGTAAAAAGTTCTTTTGTGAATAAAACGGCCTGGGCCGGGGGCTGTGGGAATCGGACAAGCACAGAGAGACGATTATACGCACCCTTCCCAGAGTCTTGCTGGTTCAAGCCTCTGTGTGTAGTCTTATTAATCAGAGTTCCATCCTTCCTTTACTATGCGAACGGAACAAGTATCCCCTAAGCATTTTTTTTAAGGAAAAAAAGCACTGAGTTATACCATAACATTACAGATCAATGGAAAGACAATTTAATGAAGAATGTAAGGAAATAACTTTTATGAAGGATTATTTATTACAACAGTAGTCATAAAGAAGAAATGTGAAACAAACAGAAAAAAATTAAATATACAGGTAGAATTGCCGCGTTATAGTAATAATAATAATTTATTATTTATACCCTGCCCATCTGGCTGGGCCACTTTGGGCGGCTTCCAACAAAATATTAAATTACAATAATGCATCAAACATTAAAAGCTTCCCTAAACAGGGCTGCTTTCAGATGTCTTCTAAAATTCTGGTGGTAGTTGTTCTCTTTGACATCTGGTGGGAGGGTGTTCCACAGGGCGGGTGCCACCACCAAGAAGGCCCTCTGCCTGGTTCCCTGTAACTGGGCTTCTCGCAGGGAGACAACCGCCAGAAGACCCTCGGCACTGGACCTCAGCGTCCGGGCAGAATGATGGGGGTGGAGATGCTCCTTCAGGTATACTGGGCCGAGGCCATTTAGGGCTTTCAAGGTCAGCACCAACGCTTTGAATTGTGCTCGGAAACGTACTGGGAGCCAATTTAGGCCTTTCAAGACCGGTGTTCTGTGGTCTCGGCGGCCGCTCCCAGTCACCAGTCCAGCTGCCGCATTCTGCATTAGTTGTAGTTTCCGGGTCACCTTCAAAGGTAGCCCCACAAAGAGCGCATTGCAGTAGTTGGCACTTTGTGATAAATAAGTAGGTTTTGCGTTGCATTTTGGGTACTCCATCTCTAAAAGGTTCGCCATCACTGCCCTCGGATCATGTCCAGTCGCAAAGGTGGAGGGAGGCTTTCCACCCTCAGGCCCAGAGGTGGCTCCAGCCTTGGGGCAGCTGGTGGATTTGGAGGAAAATGACCCTTAGCACTCTGGGTTGGGGACCTGCCTGAACCTCCTTCCCCATTATACTCATCCTTACGGTTTCTCGCCTGCGTCATTATGGGAATAGCATTCTACACACACTTGTGTCACCATGGCTCCCGCCCCCCAGCACATTGCTTTGAGATGCTCTGCTACAGCCCCTTCTTCCCTGTGCCCCCTTCCCTCCTCATGCAAGACCACCAGTCTCAGCTCCACTTTGAGAAACTTTCCATTCCCAGATACAAACATTTCCAGCTCCCTCCACGAAACACCAACACCAGCTCACTCTCAGTCTGCCCTCTTTCAGCAGCAACACTACAGATTCGCATTAAATATTAGATTAGGCTTACTATTGTGAAATGTTACCTTCATTACTTTAAATAAATGTCTAGACCACGTTACAAACAACAGAAGCTCACACACGCTGCCTGCAATTAAGACTGATTTCCTACTATTGATGTGAAAGAAAGTGTCAACTTGGAGAGAAAAAGGTTCTACTCTCTAAAAAGCGTTCCATAATTACCAAAACAGGATCCATACTACTTCTAGTTAAACGCTTTCTCTTCTTTGAGTTAATTGATGGCCTGTGGGTGTTACCACTATTACAACTCTTACCCCTCAGAGTCTTTTGATGGTTTGTAAGACTTCCACTACAACTGAACCTCTGTCCACTTCCCTAGGACTTATATTGTTACTCCCCTGTATGAGTTTGTTGATGTTTTGTAAGAACTCCACTTGTACTGAAGCTCCTTCCATATTCCATGCATTGAAATGGTTTCTCCCCTGTGTGAGTCCGTTGATGGTTTCTAAGGTTTCCACTAGTAGTGAAGCTCTTTCCACACTCTATGCATTTAAATGGTTTCTCCCCTGTGTGAGTCCGTTGATGTTTTCTAAGGTCTCCACTCCCACTGAAGCTCTTTCCACACTCCATGCATTCAAATGGTTTCTCCCCAGTGTGAGTCCGTTGATGAATTCTAAGGTGTCCACTCCCACTGAAGCTCTTTCCACACTCCATGCATTCAAATGGTTTCTCCCCAGTGTGAGTCCGTAGATGAATTCTAAGGTGTCCACTATTAGTGAAGCTCTTTCCACACTCCATGCACTGAAATGGCTTCTCCCCTGTGTGAGTCCGTTGATGAATTCTAAGGTTTCCACTATCAGTGAAGCTCCTTCCACACTCCATGCATTTAAATGGTTTCTCCCCAGTGTGAGTCCGTTGATGAATTCTAAGGTGTCCACTATTAGTGAAGCTCTTTCCACACTCCATGCACTGAAATGGCTTCTCCCCTGTGTGAGTCCGTTGATGAATTCTAAGGTTTCCACTACCAGTGAAGCTCTTTCCACACTCCATGCATTTAAATGGTTTCTCCCCTGTGTGAGTCCGTTGATGAATTCTAAGGTCTCCACTCCGACTGAAGGTCTTTCCACACTCCATACATTTAAATGGTTTCTCCCCTGTGTGACTCCGTTGATGAATTCTAAGGTCTCCACTCCAACTGAAGCTCTTTCCACACTCCATGCATTTAAATGGTTTCTTCCCCATGTGAGCACGTAGATGAATTCTAAGGTGTCCACGCTGAGTGAAGCTCTTTCCACACTCCATGCATTTAAATGGTTTCTCCCCCATGTGAGTCCGTAGATGAATTCTGAGGCTTCCGCTAGTAGTGAAGCTCTTTCCACACTCCATGCATTTAAATGGTTTCTCCCCTGTGTGAGTCCGTTGATGAATTCTAAGGTTTCCACTAGTACTGAAGCTCTTTCCACACTCCATACATTTAAATGGTTTCTCCCCCGTGTGAGTCCGTAGATGAATTCTAAGGTGTCCACTATTAGTGAAGCTCTTTCCACACTCCATGCATTTAAATGGTTTCTCCCCCGTGTGAGTCCGTAGATGAATTCTAAGGTGTCCACTATCAGTGAAGCTCTTTCCACACTCCATGCATTTAAATGGTTTCTCCCCCGTGTGAGTCCGTTGATGAATTCTAAGGTGTCCACTCCGACTGAAGCTCTTTCCACACTCCATGCATTTAAATGGTTTCTCCCCTGTGTGACTCCGTTGGTGTTTTCTAAGGTTTCCACTGTCAGTGAAGCTCTTTCCACACTCCATGCATTTAAATGGTTTCTCCCCTGTGTGACTCCATTGATGAATTCTAAGGTGTCCACTCCGACTGAAGCTCTTTCCACACTCCATACATTTAAATGATTTCTCCCCTGTGTCACTCCATTGGTGTTTTCTAAGGTTTCCACTGTCAGTGAAGCTCCTTCCACACTCCATACTTTCAAATTGTTTATGTTCTCTGTTTTCACACTCCATGTATTTAAATGTCTTCTTCATTATTCCCATTAGACATGGCCCTCCAGAATTCTGATTGCCTTCTCCATTGTCTTCTTTCGATGGGGTGGGGAGAAAATCCTTTTTGTTTTCTAGGAAGAGAACAAAGGACTATTACACACATCAATTAGCACCTGCTCTTATTTTAACGTCTTGTACAATCTCTCCAGTCCTCCATATGTTCCAAATTTTTAGGAAAGGCAAATGAAATAATGTAAAATAATGGTCATGTACCATCAGCCTTTTATAACCCTTAATTATTGTTAATGAAGCAGCATTATCTTAGAATACGGTTGAACTGTGGGCTTTACGTTTTATAAAAAGTGGTTTCTCACAGGAAAGGGACCTGCTGTATGTTCCAATATTCCTCAGGGTCCTAAGTTCATCATGAAGTTCTTCATCCTCTGCACTATAGTCCTCCACCCCTTGGGCCACATTTTGTCCCCTTTGACCTCTAGATCTTTATTCATCACCTGTACAGTCCCTTTGGCCTCAGGTGGTGCATACTGACCATTTCTGGAGACCCATATATAAGGCTAGTGACAAGGCTTGGTGCTTGTGGTCGGTTGAAGGAGTGCTCAGTTGGAGAATGTTCTTGGGGTTGGACCTCCATCTCTCAGCCTTGCATTCTTGAATGGACAGAGCTGGAGATGCAGAAGGAAAGCAGCTGGAGCCTGACCGCTGGGAAGGCCAGATTGAGACACTCACCCCAATTATGATTTATAATAATTATATGCCACCGGGTCTCGCACCTGCCTCCTGACACTGGCTTATCTTAGTGAAGATTCCCTGTCCAGGCCTCTCTCACTGTTCTTCCTCCTTTGCCGTGGGTGACCTAGGGCTTCTGGATATTCTAGCTCTGCTCCAACTGGGAATTATTTATTACCGTATTTTTCGCCCTATAGGACGCACTTTTCCCCCTCGAAAAATGATGGGGAAATGTGTGTGCGTCCTATGGGCCAATGCAAGCTTTCGCTGAAGCCTGGAGAGCGAGAGGGGTAGGTGCGCATCCTGCATGCTGTTGCCTGCATGCTGAAGCCTGCGCGCGTTGAGCTCAGCACGTCCAGGCTTCGTGGACCTCTCCGCAAGCAGCGGGAGCCAGCGCTGGGTTCCCACGGCTTGCAGAGAGCTGCCTGTTTGGGGGCTGGGGTCGGGGAAAACTCGGGCTTCCCCCGACCCAGCCCCGCGCTTGGGGGGGAATTAATTTTTTCCCCTTTATTTCCCCCCCCAAAAAACTAGGTGCGCCTTATGGGACGGTGCGTCTTATAGGGCGAAAAATACGGTACATTTGTATACCTCTCTTACCTGAAGATCACAAGATAAAAATATGTGTGACACTGAAAAAGGTGAGTATTAAAGGTGAATAATACCCATTGTCCCCTTCATGGATCACTGCCTTGCCGTGGCAAAGGGGCTTGAATAACTCAGAGAAGCTATGAGCTATGCCGTGCAGTGCCACCCAAGATGGACAGGTCATGGTGGAGAGTTTTGACCAAACGTGATCCACCTGGAGCAGGAACCGGCAAGCCACTCCAGTATCCCTGCCAAGAAAACTCCATGGACAAAGACAACAAGCATATACAAGTTATGACGCTGGAAGGTGAGCCCCTCAGGTCGGAAGGCGTCCAACATGCTACTGAGGAAGAGTGGAGGACAAGGACAAGTAGATTCAGAGCTGATGAAGCAGCTGGGCCAAAGCCGAAAGGACGCTCAGTTGCGGATATGCCTGGAAGCGAAAGGAAAGTCCAATGCTGTAAAGAAAAATATTGCATAGGAACCTGGAATGTAAGAACCATGAACCTTGGTAAGCTGGATGTGGTCAAAAATGAGATGGCAAGAATAAATATTGACATCCTGGGCATCAGTGAACTAAAATGGACAGGGATGGGCAAATTCAGTTCAGATGACCATCATAACTACTACTGTGGGCAAGAATCCCGTAAAAGAAATGGAGTGGCCCTCATAGTCAACAAAAGAGTGGCAAAAGCTGTACTGGGATGCAATCTCAAAAATGATACAGTGGTGCCCCGCAAGAAGAATGCCTCGCAAGATGGAAAACCCGCTAGACGAAAGGGTTTTCCGTTTTTGAGCTGCTTCACAAGACGAATTTCCCTATGGGCTTGCTTCACAAGACGAAAACGTCTTGCGAGTGTTCTGATTTTTTTCCGCTTTCTCCCCCCCCCTTTTTCTAAGCCGCTAATAGCCTTTTAGCCGCTAAGCCGCTAAGCCTTTAATAGCTGCTAATCCGCTAATAGCTGCTAATCCGCTAATCGGGTTGCTTCGCAAGACGAAAAAACCACTAGACAAAAAGACTTGCGGAACGGATTATTTTCGTCTTGCGAGGCACCACTGTAGAATGATCTCGATACGAATCCAAGGCAGAACTTTTAACATCACAGTAATCCAGGTTTATGCACCAAGTACGGGTGCTGAAGAAACTGAAATCGACCAATTCTATGAAGACTTACAACACCTTATAGAAGTGACACCAAAGAAGGATGTTCTTCTCATTATAGGGGATTGGAATGCTAAAGTAGGGAATCAAGAGATAAAAGGAAAAACTGGCAAGTTTGGCCTTGGAGATCAAAATGAAGCAGGGCAAAGGCTAATAGAGTTCTGTCAAGAGAACAAGCTGGTCATCACAAACACGCTTTTCCAACAACACAAGAGACGACTCTACACATGGACATCACCAGGTGGGCAGCATCGAAATCAGATTGATTATATTCTCTGCAGCCAAAGATGGAGAAGCTAAAGCCAAAGATACAGGAAATTGAATGCAGATTTCCAAAAAATAGCAAGGAGAGACAAGAAGGCCTTCTTAAACGAGCAATGCAAAGAAATAGAGGAAAACAACAGAATGGGAAGAACCAGAGATCTCTTCAAGAAAATTGGAGATATGAAAGGAACATTTTGTACAAAGATTACCATAATAAAGGACAAAAGTGATAAGGACCTAACAGAAGCAGAAGACATCAAGAAGAGGTAGCAAGAATACACAGAGGAATTATACCAGAAAGATATGGATGGCGCGTACATCCCAGGTAGTGTGGTTGCTGACCTTGAGCCAGACATCCTGGAGAGTGAAGTCAAATGGGCCTTAGAAAGCACTGCTAATAACAAGGCCAGTGGAAGTGATGGTATTCCAGCTGAACTATTTAAAATATTAAAGATGATGCTGTTAAGGTGCTACACTCAATATGGCAGCAAGTTTGGAAAACTCAGCAGTGGCCAGAGGATTGGAGATCAGTCTACATCCCAATCCCAAAGAAGGGCAGTGCCAAAGAATGCTCCAACTACCGCACAATTGCACTCATTTCACACGCTAGCAAGGTTATGCTTAAAATTCTACAAGGCAGGCTTAAGCAGTATGTGGACCGAGAACTCCCAAAAGTGCAAGCTGGATTTAGAAGAGGCAGAGGAACCAGAGACCCACTTGCAAACATGCGCTGGATTATGGAGAAAGCTAGAGAGTTCCAGAAAGACATCTACTTCTGCTTCATTGACTATGCAAAAGCCTTTGACTGTGTCGACCACAGCAAACTATGGCACGTTCTTAAAGAAATGGGAGTGCCTGATCACCTCATCTGTCTCCTGAGAAATCTCTACGTGGGACAAGAAGCTACAGTTAGAACTGGATATGGAACAACTGATTGGTTCAAAATTGGGAAAGGAGTACGGCAAGGCTGTATATTGTCTCCCTGCTTATTTAACTTATATGCAGAATTCATCAGGCGAAAGGCTGGGCTGGATGAATCCCAAGCCGGAATTAAGATTGCCGGAAGAAATATCAACAACCTCAGATATGCAGATGACACAACCTTGATGGCAGAAAGTGAGGAGGAATTAAAGAACCTTTTATTGAGGGTGAAAGAGGAGAGCACAAAATATGGTCTGAAGCTCAACATCAAAAAAACGAAGATCATGGCCACTGGTTCCATCACCTCCTGGCAAATAGAAGGGAAAGAAATGGAGGCAGTGAGAGATTTTACTTTCTTGGGCTCCATGATCACTGCAGATGGTGACAGCAGCCACGAAATTAAAAGATGCCTGCTCCTTGGGAGAAAGGCGATGGCAAACCTAGACAGCATCTTAAAAAGCAGAGACATCACCTTGCCAACAAAGGTCCGTATAGTTAAAGCTACGGTTTTCCCAGTAGTGATGTATGGAAGTTAGAGCTGGACCATCAAGAAGGCTGATCGCAAAAGAATGGATGCTTTTGAATTCTGGTGCTGGAGGAGACTCTTGAGAGTCCCATGGACTGCAAGAAGATCAAACCTCTCCATTCTTAGGGAAATCAGCCCTGAGTGCTCACTGGAAGGACAGATCCTGAAGCTGAGGCTGCAGTACTTTGGCCACCTCATGAGAAGAGAAGACTCCCTGGAAAAGACCCTGATGTTGGGAAAGATGGAGGGCACAAGGAGAAGGGGATGACAGAGGACGAGATGGTTGGACAGTGTTCTCGAAGCTACCAGCATGAGTCTGACCAAAGTGCGGGAGGCAGTGGAAGACAGGAGTGCCTGGCGTGCTCTGGTTCATGGAGTCACGAAGAGGCGGACACAACGAAACGACTGAACAACAACATCCATCCATTGTGGGAAAGAAAAGAAAGAAGATGAAACCAGTGGTGTGTCTACCTGAATGTAGTAATAATAATAATAATAATAATAATAATAATAATAATAATAATATGTAAAGAAGAAACCAATCTTCAAATCAGCTTCATATTCCATGGCCAGGGATGATGGGAGTCTTTTCTGGGGACACACACTTTTTCCCCTCCCTCCCTCCACCCCCAAGGGTCCCCTTTCCCCAGGGGCCCCCCTGGCCGGCTCAGCCTTCCTGCCAAATCTCTCCCCATCCCAGGAGGAAGACGGTGGGGGGGAGGGAGAGGTTTCCATCCCAGCCTCTCTCGCCCCCATTAACCCTTCCATGGACTCCCCAGTCTCTCCCCCCCCCAATATATAGATATATTTCGCACCTCTTTTCCCTCCTCCTCAGCAGAGCTGCTCCTCTTCCGGGAATGTGGATCAGGCCCCTCCCCTCCCCCTTGCCCCCTCCAAACCTCCCTGCCTCTCTAGGACGTGGAGCTCACTGACCCGGGGGGAGGAATGAGTGGCCCCTCCCTCCCAGGACAGACAAATTCTCCTTCCAAACAAGCTCCATTTTCTCAATTCTTTCCTGAGAGGGTCCCGGGTTCGATCCCCGGAGACAGCAGGGAAAGAGACCTACCCCCACCTCCGAAAAAGTCCTCCAGGGCAGGAAGGTGACACCCCCCTTCATCTCTTTTAATCCCTTGCCGGGAGAGGGGGGGTCCGGTCGGTTTCACACCCATTTCCCGACCGGGGAGGGGGAGGCAGGGCCGAGGCGTAGGATGTCCCTGTTACAACAGCCCTGCAAAGTAGACCGGAGTTGCTACACACTTTTGGGACTTAGAGAGTAACTTAAAGCTAATGGGACCCCTGACCATTAGGTCCAGTCATGGCCGACTCTGGGGTTGCGGCGCTCATCTTGGTTTATTGGCTGAGGGAGCCGGCGTACAGCTTCCGGGTCATGTGGCCAGCAGGACTAAGCCGCTTCTGGCAAACCAGAGCAGCGCACGGAAACGCCGTTTACCTTCCCGCTGGAGTGGTACCTATTTATCTACTTGCACTTTGACCTGCTTTCAAACAGCTAGGTTGGCAGGAGCAGGGACCGAGCAATGGGAGCTCAGCCCGTCGCGGGGATTAAAACCTTCCGATCACCAAGCCCTAGGCTCTGTTGTTTAACCCACAGTTCCACCCGCGTCCCTGGAGAGTAACTTATGGCAACCGTAAAGGGCAGTCCAGTGTGGTCATTACGGGGGCCTCTTTTAAATAGGGGCTGGTGTTTGAACTTGGGCTTTGCTAATGTTAAATAATTGGCAGGGGGGGGGACACTTGTGTGAGAGCAGGTTTCTTTGGCCGTCTCCCCCTTCCTTGCTTGCCCCTTCTGCGTTCCCACGGCAAGTCCAGCCGAATTAGACTGTGGCGTGTGGTGCATATCTCCGCCTTCAGACGGAGGGAGCCAGGCAGCTTTCCGGGTCGTGTGCCCAACTTTTCATGAGCTGATATTAAATCCCAACTACAGCTGCTTGTTACAGAGGGTGGGGGCAGATTCCGATAGGTTAATGATATTAACTCTTTCCATGCTTATTTCTGATGCTCAGAAGCAGGTGCACCCTTTCCTAGACCTTCCTATACCTTCTAAAATACACTGAGACCATCTTATAACATATCCCCGCTAAGACACACAAGTTCTAATTAAATCCTAATATTTACTATACCTAAACATTGAGCACCACAGACCAATAATAATAATAATAATACTAGTGATAATAATAGTAATAGTAATTTATTATTTATACCCTGCCCATCTGGCTGAGTTTCCCCAGCCACTCTGGGTGGCTGCCAGTCGAGTGGGGGCGTCGCTGGAGGAGGAGATGTGGGCCTGACTTGCCCTGCGGGGTCCTGGGGCAAGTTCTGCACCCCATAGCGGGGAGTGGAGAGGGGGCAGGAGGGGGGCAGGCTGTGCCCCCTTCCTGCCCCCAGGAGGAGTCTTTTCAGGGATTGGGGGGGGTGCCGCTGCCGGGCATGGATCCTGAGACCTTTTCAGGAAAGAAAGGGAATTATAGAGCTTGTTTGGAGGGAAGGGAAATGATGCTTCCTGGGAGGGGGAAGAATCCCTTTTTGCCCCACATTCCTCTCCCTTGGCCACTGAGCTCTGCTTCCCAGAGAGGAAAGAAGTTGTTTAAGAGAGAGGCAGGTTAGAGGGGAAGGGTCTCCTCCCTCATTTTCGGAAGAGAAGAGGCCTGGAGAGGAGGAGGACGAGGGGCCACGTGATTGGGAGGTTTGGGGAGGGAGAGGAAGATAGAGAAGGGCTCCCCTCCCCGTGGATCAGAAGGGTGGGAGAAGGGCTGGGGGGCTCCCCCCAATGTTTGCATTGCAAGATCCTTTTTGAAGGGCAGAGATGGAGCCAGCCTTGAGGGAGGGGGGGCAGAGAAGAGTGCTCCCCCCCAAAAAGCAGCCCCACTGGGACACTGAGCAGTCACCTGGGGAACACTATCTTCTCCCCACCAAAAAGGAGAGACGTGGTCTTAGACGCAGCCTCTCCAACACTGTTTTATGGACTGGGACACATCCAGCAGCAGGGCCGGACTCTGCAACTTCTGTGTCATGGGTGTGGCAAGGATATCTAGAATACCTGTGGCCCACTCAAGTTGTGTCCAAGAATTGACAGACACAGCAGTGGAGAAAAAGAAGGTTATATTTTATTGCTGAGCAATAATGACCCAGTGGAATAATTTCCAGAGCCTGGGCAGCGAAATCCTTATGGAGTGGGGTTTTATACTGCAGCACAAACAGCCGAAACCTGACATAATCGTATATGGCAGCAAAAATCAAACCAATGAGCGCGCACACCAGCTTTTCCCCTGACCATGTAAAGAATGCCCTTGCTTCTGCTTTTTTCTCAGATGGTACGTCAGCCTGCCCTTTTCCCCAATTTACAGTAAGAAAGAGGAAAAGAAACTTATTTTGAAAGCATGGACAACCCCCCGCCCCCGCTACTGGCTAGAACATTGCGGTTAACTATTTTTTCCAGTTCCCCCGACTCAGCCGCTGAGGAGCTGTCTCCAAGGGAGGAAAGTGCCAGCACATCAGATTTATTATTTCCTTCAAATGTTAGCAAGACACTGGGGGAGAAATGGGACAGAGGTCAGCTTTGGATTTCTAAAATCTAAGCATTTTAGTTCTGCTGAAGCCTTGAAGCCTTAGCTATTAAAACCCAGTTAGATACATGGATATATGGATACATATGGATATATATGATTATATAGAAATCATAAGGGTAAAATTATTCCAGGTGGTCTTGCCACATGGGGAAAACTGGGGTTTGGTTTTGACAGCTCCCCAACTCCTTCCAGGTGAAAATAACAATTCTTGGGGTGCCCTACCTTAAAGTGCTTTCCAACTTTGCTGGAGTCTAGCCCTGCGGATGCTGGATTGATCAGAAAACGCGAGGCGGCAGGCAAGCAATGAGGAAGCAAATCTGTGGCCAGAAGGCCTGATCCTTTATTTGTTGCAACAAAGGTCTCAATCTCTAAGGAGAGCAAAAAAGAAAATGTCCAGAACAAAGATTACACGAGTTTTTAATAGTTCCCACAACACATTTCTCATAGTGTCATCAAAACATCACAGGTATGTCCCGGAAGAGGAGTGGTGTTGGGCAGAATTCTGTGATCCAGACATGCCCATGTCAATCACACCTTGTTTCAACATGCATCTAACACAAGGAAAAGAAAATATCATCACTGAGGTCCACTTCCGAGGGTCTTCTGGCAGTTCCCTCACATTTACAGGGTACCAGGCAGAGGGCCTTCTCGGTAGTGGCACCCTCCCTGTGGAACACACGCCCCCCAATATCAGATGTCAAAGAGAGAAAGAACTACATACCTTTTGGAAGACCTCTGAAGGCAGCCCTGTTCAGGAGCAGGGCGGAGATCTCTCAGAAGTGGAGGCTTTGCGATGAGAGATCCCTGCCTCCACTCCTCCTTGCACACAAGTAGGAGCGGCAGCGGGAAGCTCCGCTGAGGAGCAACTGGCCGCCTTCAAGTGGTGCAGGGGCTCTCAGATGCAGTTTCTGGGCTGCCTCCACCTTCCCCAGCTCCAGCAACTATTCAGCCTGGCTGCCTAATAAATAATAATAATAATAATAATAATAATAATAGTGGTGATAATAATAGTAATAATATTTTATTATTTATACCCTGCCCATCAGGCTGAGTTTCCCCAGCCACTCTGGGCGGCTCCCAACCAAGTGTTAAAAACAATACAGCATTAAATATTAATTTGATGGGAGGACATTCCACAGGGCAAGCGCCACTCCCCAGAAGGCCCTCTGTCTGGTCCCCTGTAACCTCACTTCTCGCAATGAGGGAACCGCCAGAAGGCCCTCGGCACCGACACTTTGAATTGTGCTCAGAAACGTACTCAAATATTCCTCTGCAGTAAAGGAGGCAAATGGAAGCCTTCCCATTGTCTTTGTGCTTACAAATACTGCCTTAAGGAGGGATGAACAGGGTGGGCCTGTGACCTGGATTCAGGAACTAAAGTATTTGCCATCACAAAAGAATGGCCAGGCTGCCCAGGTAATGCAGTTAGTGACCATTAACAGGTATCCTTGAGGACAGGTTTTCTGCTGTAGACCGCCTCCTGTGATCTATTCCTGCTGTAGACAGTCTCCTTCTGTATGATATTTGGGGGGGTGGTCTTGGGTGGGCAATTTCAAAAGACTATATAAGGCCTTGCACACCTCCCTCCTGGTTGTGGTGAGGGGGGGACACTGTTGCAATAAAGATCAGGCTTACTAGCCGCTTTGCTTCTCCGTATTCTCTGCTTGGTCTCTGTTATTTTCTCCTACCAATAGGGAACCCACTTAAGGACTATATGGGCTCTTGGATACCCCATAAGGGGAAAGGAGCAGGTTTTCCTTATAACAAAGGTCGTAAGACTATGTTTGGTTGGCACGCTTATTTATGGCAGGATAAAACTAAAACACACAAGAGCTCTATGAATCAGGTTATTCAAAAAATCCTTTTTACAGTATGGGATAAATATAATAATCCGCTGGAAAGAAAAACACCTCTTTGGCTTCCACCCACAAAAGCAACAGCTTTTTAAAAAATGCAATACGGAAGAAGCAATGGGCAACTTACAGAGATCTTTTGGACTTTTCGGAAGAAGAAATAAAACTGAATAAACAGGATGAGGTGGGAGGTGTGGTGGCGGATTGGTTTCAATACCATCAAATCATCTTGTTTGGACAAGATAAAGGGAGAGGTTTTTGGACTGAAAGTTCACAGTTTGAAAGAGATATTATGGCGAGGAAAGAAAAAGTGTTTCCCAAATTTCAGGTAGAAAATTGTCCAATCTGAAGAAATGTGCATGCAAACGAAAGCTCATCCCCAGAACAAACTTAGTTGGTCTCTTAGGTACTACTGAACAATTTTTTAAAAAAACTTTCCAAAATGTATGAGATACTATTAGAATGGGAAGCAAAATAAAACTGGTAAAATCTGCAATGATACACTGGGCCAGAAATTTAGGTCATAATTAGAGCTGGGCTTGATGTTAATGTGCTAACTGTTTCCTAATATTTGAGCTGACATTATATCGCAGATCCAATGTGTATAAGGACTAGGAAATATCTGATTTTCAATATCGTGATAACTCGTCAGCTAACAGTTGCAATGTTCTCACCAGCTAAACCTCACAATATGAGCTGCTAAACGTTGCCATGTTATCAGCAGCTAAAGATTGCAATCAGGGTGGATACAATCAATGATTTTTAAAAAAAAAATAAAATCAGATTTTTTTATTTAAATCAGAGTTTTTTTAATCAGAATTTAAAAAAAAATAAAATGCTTTTAGAGGAAAAAGTCTATCTAAAGATAGTTTTATATTTAATTACATTATAGTCCAAAGGCTATTCATCAGGAAATAAGGATATCTTTTTAATTATCTAGCATGAGGCTTTATATGGAATATTTAATTTTTTGGGTAAATGAATTCCATTAATCCATTCACAATGTCATGCTCTTCCAGAGGTTTTTGTAAGATTATTTGGGGAAGTTTTTCTAAAGAGACGATTTTGTCACAGATGCTTGTTTTTGCCATTCTCAAAAGTGTGAATTTGTGTATCTGCAGAGATAACATGCCTTTTCTTCACAGGAAAAATGTTATAAAATAAACATACAGAGTTGACGGAAAACCTTAATCCCATTGTTCCTTTGCAGATTTATATACACAGAATCAACCCCTTAAATTCTAAGTTCCAAGAGGTTCAATGAACTGATGGTTTGCAGTGGAAGAGATCTGCACAAGTAGCTAAGTGTGAAGCAGTAAAAACGAGAGTGCAACCTTGTGAGCAGAATACTCCACACATCTTGGGGTCTTTGTGTAATAATTGTGCAAGTCAGACTTGAGGCAAGCGCTGAAGGCTCTTCAGGGCTGGCAACCTCTTCCCAATCCCACTGGGTTCCAACAGCTGCACTAACACTTAACTGTACAGAATAGGCACCTGGATGCAGAAGCCAATCCAAAGGGGGGGCTGGTAGTGGAGGAGGTGAAATGCTTAAGTTCTGAGTTTTCCATGTGTGCTAAAACTCAGTCTGCTTGGTTGTTGTTTCTTATTAAAAAAATATTTTTACCAACATGCTATGATATTATTGTTTTAGTTAAATAAATTATTTTTCTCCTTCCAATAAATTACAGCAGAAATGTTGTCCAAATATGGACAGTAAACTTACTAAACCTCAGAATGATTTCATAATTATCTGTGTATTTCTAACAGTGTAACCAAATAAGAAATTTTTGATTTAAACAGAATCATACTGACTAGTGATTTACTGTAAATTGTGATTGAAATCAATTTGATTTATATCAAACCCACCCTGATTGCAATCTACCACAATGTCTGAAATAAGGATGGCACTATACAGAGGCGAACAGGACAATGTCCTGGCAGCTGCTACTACTTAGGGGTCTGAAACGGATAAATGGAAATATTATCAATCCTCACACGCTCAGTTTCATCAGCAGGCAAGCCAAGATGCATCCTAGCAGGACTTTTGGGTTTGGGCTAGGCTAGCAAATGGTGGTATTCAGGACAATCCTGTATGGCAATGATGATCTGGGACTGCCAGCAGGGAGACTGGGGAATAAGAGGTGATGGAAGGGGCGGGGTCTCTGTCGAGGCTCCTCCCCCTTTCCATTAACCCTTCCCTGGACTCCCTCTCTCCCTTTCCCCAGCCAGGCGACCCCAGGGAGAATGGGGGGCCTCAGCCCCACCCCCAGCCCTGCTTGGGCTCCTCCTTCCCCTTCCCGCCAGGGCAGCTGAGCATCTCTCGGCCCCCCAGGAAAGAGAAAGGGGAGTCTGGCGGTGCTGCTGCTGCCCAGGAGATCTTGCAGGTGTAGATCCCTGCAGGTCTTGGGTCCCCCCTTCCCCCCCTGGGTCGGGGCCTGGATCGGGGCCCCTGTCGACGGGCCCCAGGGAGGGCGCTCTCCTTGCGGGGGGTCTCTTCTCCTCCTCCCCCCTATTCCCCCCCTCTATTCCCCCCCCTTCTCTCCCCCATTACCTCTTGGTCCTCCGCCTCCCTGGCTCCGGATTATTCCGCTTTCCTTGTCTGCAAGAGAAAGGGCGGCGGCCACGGGGGGGGATTTTCAGCGACGCCCCTCCTCCTCCTTTCCCTGTCTGGCCACTTCCGGCGCGTTTGGCAGCGCCACTTCCGGTTCCTTTTCCGACGCGCTTGCCCCTAGAGCTACGTCCACAGAGCAGCCCCTCCCTGTGTCCGGAGGGGAAGGAGACGGGGCGGCGCTGCCTCTGGCCTCCTGCTCTGGGGGCTCCATGGGTACCCGGCCCCCGCCCCCCCCCAACTGGGCAAGTGGAGGCCGGGGGAGGGTCTCCTTCTGGGCCTCCTTCTGCATGCCAAGCACTCAGCCGGGGTCCTTCTGCAGGCAGAGCAAGGGCTGCAGTGCTGAGCTTCGCCCCCTGACAGCCCAGCCCAGCTTCAAACACCAGCCCCTCTCCCCCCCTGGATTGAGAGGTGTTCTGGACTGTGGCCTTGTCACTCACATGCAACGCCACAACAGTCCTGTGAGAGGAAGGGGGGAGCATTTCTGCAGGCTGATGTCCATCCATCCAGCTGCCCAGGCCCCAGCACCTCCCCCTAAGAGTGAAGGGTCCCAGTCTGGAAATCCCCCCTTCCTGCTGGAGATGAGGCAGTGAGGGATTCCAGACAGACAGAGGTGCCCTTGCTCTGGAATTCCCGTGCCAGCAGGGAGACTTCAAAAGCCCCCCCCCCATGCCTCCCCCTTCCCTCATTTAGTAGGGAGACTTCTCATCTTGTGGTTTGGTCATTTCAAATCCAGTTTTTCTCTCTCTTAATACTGTTGTTGGTTTCCTTGTTTAAATTATTCTGTTCACGACTGATATTTCACATAGCGTTTGTGAATGCAAAGCAATTCTGGTTCTTATGATCCCTGCAGGGTATTAAGTGTTGTTCTAACCTCCCTATTGCAGGTGGAAAGAGGTATGTGGGGCTTGCTTATAATATCTTAGGGTGGCAGGATTAAGATTTGGGACTGGGACTTTCAGATTCAGAGCCCCTCTTCGCATGAAATTTCTTCCAACTATTGGAGGAAAGTATGTCTGAGGTTTATGACAGAAATATAATTATTACGGGTGAATTTAATGGAGTAGTATCACTGGACTATGACAGAACACTAAGGGAAAGTGTCTCAAAAGAAGGCAAAATACCAAATACTTTTTTGATATGGTTACAACAATGGATCTACTAGATCAGGGTCAGGAGATTTTTCAGCAGGGGGCCAGTCCACTGTCCCTCAGACCTTGTTGGGGACCAGACTATATTTTGGGGGGAAATGAGCGATTTTGGCCCACCCGCAAAGAGGCCTGAAGATGTTTGGCTTTACCTGTCCCAGTTGTCATCCCAATAGCCCCAGTTGGGTTTCTCCAGCCAGGTGCCAGGGCAGGTTGGAGGCTGCCTTGGCCGGTGAAGACAGAAGCAGCAGCCCTGGCGGAGCCGCGGACAGAGGCAGGGGAACCGGGGCATTGCTGGAGCTTTTACCCACCAACTGCTGCTGCTTCCCAACCCGCAAGCGGCAGCTGCAGCTGCTGCAACAAACCGCCTGAACGCCATGGGAGGAATGAAGGAGGGAGGGGGTGACGAAGCGCGTGAGGAAGCGGCACGGAGAAGGGGCACAGAAAAGGAAGGAAGGGCGGACTGAGGGAGAGGGAGGAGGAGCAAGAGGAAAACTCAGCAGCAGCCAGTGTCACACCCCCTTCCCAGCGCCACCCTTCTGAGGCAGGCAGGCAGGTGAGCCGACTCCCCCCATTGATGGCACCCGGTGTGGGACAAGATTGCTCGTCCCTGAGGAGAAAAGCGCCGCTGTGTGAGGGAGAGGGAAAGAACGTGCGTGCTGGCAATCCACGTGGCGATTCCTGGACCGTCCGCAGGCCGGATCTAGAAGGCAATTGCGCCTGATTCGGCCCACAGGCCTTAGTTTGCCAACCCAGATGCTTGGAGATTCAGACCCCCTTTAGAACAAGAGTAAACATGTTCTTCTGATTCAAAGGATTCTGCGGGAAGAAGAAACATGATCTGGATATTGAAGGAACTGCCTAGAGGATTAAAGACTGTAGAGATCCAGCCAAGAACTATATCAGATCAAAACTGAAAATGGATGATAATGAGGGGTGAAAAGAGTTCATGGTATAGATGGAGACTAAATAAGGGTTTATTTGAAAAACACTGAATTACAACATATTCCAATTACATTAGAGTATCAAAAAATGTTAAAAACATTTGGAAATATAGGGGAGGATGAAACTTTCACTTTTACGAAGGATTTCAACCATAAAGAGAAATGTTTTACCTAAGATACTGTTTTTATTCTAAATGATACCAATAATAAATAATACAAGCTTCTTTAACGAATGGCAAAGAGATATTTCATGATAACTCTGGCAGGGGGAAAACAGAATAAAGTATAAAATTTTGATAGATGCTAAAAATAGAGGTGGCTTCGCACTGCTAGGTTTTCTACTACGAGGCAGCCTCTTTGTGTTGGTTAAAACAGTGTTTCCCAAACGTTTTTGGGCAACGGCACACCTGTTTACTGAAAAAAAATCTCGCGGCACACCACCATTAAAGCCCCGCCCCGTGACGTCAGCGCGCAGCGTCACGCCAGGAGGGACGCACAAAAGTGAAAGTTTTTTCCCTCCCCCTTGCTGGGGAACCTCCAAGCTTTGGGGGTGGGAGGAGGCAGCAGAGCGAGGGACTGAGGGACGGCGGCAACTGAGGCGGCGGCGGCTGAGGCAGAGCTGGGAAGGGGGTTTCCAGGGGACACGGCAGCTCCTCGAAAGGCTTCTCTCAGCTGCGCTCAATCCGCCTCGGAGAGGATTTCCCCTCCGGTCCCATGCGTTCGTTTGGGGCATCGCTCCGGCTGCTTCCTCTCCCGCCGCGCAGGAGCGATGCCTCTCTCTGGCTCTCCCTCCGCGCAGGCTGAGGGAGGGAGGGAGGGGCGCGTGTGACCCGTCTCTGCTGGGAGACCAAACCCAGCGAGGCAGAGTCGCGCGGAGGCGCCCAGGCAGCGCTGCCGGCTGCGAGGAGGAGCGCCAGGCAGCAGCAGGAGGCGCGGCCTCTCCTCGCCGCCGCCGCCCCGCCTCTCGCCGCCCGACTCGCCCGCCTCCCTCCAGGCATCTCGCGGCACACGAGGCAACGTCTCACGGCACACTCGTGTGCCGCGGAACACCGGTTGGGAAACACTGGGTTAAAAGAATGGATATCGTTGGACAACACACTATTGCTGCATTCTCAGTGGAATCTCGATTGTAGAACGCTTCGGAAGTTGAACATTTGGGGCTTTCAAACGCCAAGAACCCAGAGGTGAATGCTTCCATTTTTGAACGCAATTTGTAAATAAAATTATATACAGTGGTGCCTCAGGTTAAGTACTTAATACGTTCCGGAGGTCCGTTCTTAACCTGAAGCACCACTTTAGCTAATGGGGCCTCCTGCTGCTGCTCCGCCGCTGGAGCACGGTTTCTGTTCTCATCCTGAAGCAAAGTTCTTAACCTGAAGCACTATTTCTGGGTTAGCAGAGTCTGTAACCTGAAGCATATGTAACGCAAGGTACCACTGTATTAATAAAATTATCTATATATAAAGCAATTGAAACACTTCCCACACTGTTGGGTTGAAATAAGCGACAGACGAATGGCAAGGTGTCATACGGGAGGCATCTCTCGAGCAAGTCTCGGAGAGTCCCTTTTATTGAATATTACAGCATTTCCACATATGTTCTTGTTGCTGATTGGTTAACATGAATACAATGCAAGGGTTGAATATAGGTATTAATCATCAATAGATTAAAGGGTGGGAAAAGGAACACAGAATTGGACAGGCATGAAACCTCCTTATTAAACTATTAACTAGTGATTGAGTATCAAGACTTAAACTATTACTAATGATTGATTTTGCATGACATGAAAGAGCATAACAATCGCGTTCCGTAGATGTGGTCAACAATGCGTCAAGAACAGGTCAGGGTCCTGAACTCAATGTGAACTGATCAGAACATTCCCAGACCCATGCGTAGAGGCAAAAACATCCCAGCATCCATCCCAGCACCACACTCCTTCCATTCAAACCATTTAAGATTTTTCAGTTTGTGGATTGTAGGGTTTCAACTCTTAAAGCTTTTCCTCCTTGCGAGCCCATTGATGGTTTCTAAGAACATCAGGACTGAACCTCTATGTACGCTCCATATACGTAAGTGGTTTTCCCTTTTTGAGTTCGCTGATGTTTGCTAAGGTTTCCACTTCTATTGACGCTCTTTCCACACTCCATACATTTATTTGCTTGTCCCCGAGTGAGTCTGTTGATGTCGTCTAAGTTTCCTGTGTGTGAAATTAGGTTTCCACTCCGAAACTCTTTCAACTCTCCATACATTTAAATGGTTTCTCCCGTGTGAGTCCGTTGATGTCTTCTAACATTTCCAACATTGGTGAAGCCCTTTCCACACTCCTTACATTTAAATGGTTTCTCCCCTGTGTGAGTCCATTGATGTTTTCTAAGTGTTCCACTGCGATTGAAACTCTTGCCGCGCTCGGTGCATTTAAATGGTTTCTCCCCAGTGTGAGTTTGATAATGGGTTCTCAGCTCTCTCCTCTCAATGAAACTCTTTCCACATTCCATGCATTTAAATGGTTTTTCACCTGAGTGAGTCCGTTGATGGATTCTAAATGTTCCACTAGAAGTGAAGCTCTTTCCACACTCCATACATTCAAATGGTTTCTCCCCTGTGTGAGTTTGATGATGGATACTAAGTGCTGTACCATCAATAAAGCTCTTTCCACATTCCATGCATTTAAATGGTTTTTCCCCTGTGTGAGTCTGTTGATGTTTTCTTAGTGTTTCACTGTGTCTGAATCTCTTTCCACAATCCATACATTTATATGGTTTCTCCCCTGTGTGAGTTTGATGATGGATACTAAGTGCTGTACCATCAATAAAGCTCTTTCCACATTCCATGCATTTAAATGGTTTCTCCCCTGTGTGAGTCCATTGATGTTTTCTTAGTGTTTCACTGTGACTGAATCTCTTTCCACAATCCATACATTTATATGGTGTTTCCCCTGTGTGAGTTCGATGATGGATTCTAAGTTTTCTACTCTCAGTGAAGCTCTTATCACACAGCATACATTTAAATGGTTTCTCCCCAGTGTGAGTTTGACAATGGGTTCTCAGGTCTCTCCTCTCAATAAAACTCTTTCCACATTCCATGCATTTAAATGGTTTTTCCCCTGAGTGAGTCCATTGATGTCTTCTTACTGCTCCACTAGAAGTGAAGCCCTTTCCACACTCTTTACATTTAAATGGTTTCTCCCCTGTGTGAGTCCGTTGATGGATTCTAAGTGTTCCACTAGAAGTGAATCTCTTTCCACAATCCATACATTCAAATGATTTTTCCCCTGTGTGAGTTTGATTATGGATATTAAGTGCTTTACCATCAATAAAGCTATTTCCACATTCCATGGATTTAAATGGTTTCTCCCCTGTGTGAGTCCGTTTATGTTTTCTCAGTGTTTCACTGTGACTGAATCTCTTTCCACAATCCATACATTTATATGGTTTTTCCCCTGTGTGAGTTCGATGATGGATTCTAAGTTTTCTACTCTCAGTGAAGCTCTTATCACACAGCATACATTCAAATGGTTTTTCCCCAGTGTGAGTTTTATGATGAATATTCAGTCCTCTATTTGTACTGAAACTCTTTCCACACTCCAAACATTCAAATGGTTTCTCCCCTGTGTGAATCCGTTGATGGATTCTAAGGTATCCACTCTGACTGAAGCTCTTTCCACATTCCATGCATTTGAATGGTTTCTCGCCCGTGTGTGTCTGTTGATGTTTTCTAAATGTTCCACTATCGGTGAAGCTCTTTCCACACTCCATACATTTATATGGTTTTTCTCCTGTGTGGATTCGTTGATGGTTTCTAAGGTGTCCAATCTGACTGAAGCTCTTTCCACACTCCTTACATTTATATGGTTTCTCCCCTGTGTGAGTGTGTTTATGTATACGAAGGTTTGAACTCCAACCAAAGCTTTTTCCACACTCCATGCATTTAAATGGTTTCTCTCCTGTGTGAGTCCGTTGATGTTTTCCAAGTGTTCCACTGGGAGTGAAACTCTTCCCACACTCCATACTTTCAAATTGTTTCTCCTCTCTCTTTTCACAATCCATGAATTTATATGGTTTCTTTGTTATTCCCATTGGACATGGCCCTCCAGAATTTTGACTGCCTTCTCCATTGTCTTCTTTCAACAGGGAGGAGCGGGGGGAAGGAAACCTAGGAAGAGAACAAAGGAATATTACACACATCAATTAGCATCTGATCTTATTTTGACGTCTCGTACATTCTTTCCTGTCCTCCATATGTTCCAAATGTTTAGGAAAGACAGATGAAGTAATGTTAAATAATGGTAACGCATCATCAGCCTTTCCTAACCCTTAATTAAGCATTAATGAAGCAGCATTATCTTAGAATACGGTTGAACTGTGGGGTTTACGTTTTATAAAAAGTGGTTTCTCTATGTTCCATGAACCTGGCCAATATTAATCAGGATCCTAAATTCATCATGAAATTCTTCATCCGCTGCACTATAATCCTCCACCCCTTGGGCCACATTTTGTCCCCTTCGACCTCTAGATCTTTATTAATCAACTGCACATTCCCTTTGGCCTCAGGAGGTGCATACTGACCATTTTGGGAGACCCATATGTAAGTCTAGTGACAAGGCTTGGTGCTTGTGGTCGGTTGAAGGAGTGCTCAGTTGGAGAATGTTCTTGGGGTGGGACCTCCATCTCTCAGCCTTGCATTCTTGAATGGAGAGAGCTGGAGATGCAGAAGGAAAGCAGCTGGAGCCTGACTGCTGGGAAGGCCAGATTGAGACACTCACCCCAATTATGATTTATAATAATTATATGCTGCCAGGTCTCGCACCCGCCTCCTGACACTGGCTTATCTCAGCGGAGATTCCCTGTCCAGGCCTCTCTCACTGTTCTTCCTCCTTTGCCCTGGGTGGCCAAGGGCTTCTGGATATTGTAGCTTTGACAATATTTCTTGGAGTTTTATGAAGAAGAATTTACAGGGGATGGGGGTAGGTCAAGGGCTTGAAAATGGTATAGGTGCAATTTATTCAGAACAAAAGGCAAAATTAATTGTGAACAATGTAGTGACAGAAGAGTTTAAGATTGAGAAAGGGACACGGCAAGGCTGCCCAATTTCTCCATTGCTCTTTATATTGGTCCTTGAGGTGTTGTTAAACATGATAAGAAAGGACCAAGAGGTCAAAGGTATACAAGTGGGAGCTAAACAGTACAAACTGAAAGCATTTGCTGATGATTCAGTATTGACCTTACAGGAGCCAGAATCTAGTACTAAAAGGGTATTGGAACTGATTCAAGAATTTGGACAGTTAGCAGGTTTTAAGCTGAATAAGACGAAAACCAAGGTTTTAGAGAAAAACTTAACGGTGAATGAGAGAGAGAAGTTTCAGGAGGAGACAGGACTAACACTGGTTAAGAAAGTGAAATATTTAGGGGTTAACATGACTGCCAAAAATGTGATTTAAGGATAATTATGAAAAATGTTGGATTGAAGTGAAAAAGGATTTAGAAATATGGACAAATTTGAAGTTATCATTGTTAGGCCGAATTGCTGTGATAAAAATGAATGTGCTGCCAAGGATGTTGTTTTTGTTTCAAACATTACAAATTTTGGATAAGATGGATTGTTTCAAGAAGTGGCAGAAAGATATTTCCAGATTTGCTTGGCAGGGCAAGAAGCCTCGAATAAAATTTAAGATATTAACTGATGCTAAAGAAAGAGGTGGATTTGCCCTGCCAGACCTTAAACTTTATTATGAATCAGCTGCTTTTTGCTGGCTGAGAGAATGGCTGCTTCTTGAAAACACTGACGTGTTGGATCTAGAAGGTTTCAATAATGCATTTGGTTGGCATGCATATTTGTGGTACGATAAGGTAAAAGTACATAAAGCGTTTAAAAATCATATTGTTAGAAAAGCATTGTTTAATGTTTGACAAGATATAAAGATTTGCTAGAAAAGAAAACCCCAAGATGGTTGTCACCAATGGAAGCGAAGGCACAGCAAAAACTCAATATGGAGGCCAAATGGCCGAAATATTGGGAAATTGCAGAGCTTTGAAAAATTGAAAAATAAAGTGCGAGATTGGCTCCATTATTATCAAATAATGGAGGCATACAATTTGGACAAAAAAGTTGGTTTCCAGGTGGAAAAATCAAAATTGGAAACAGAATTGTTTGATCCAAAAATTAAGAAGTTGTCAAGAATGTATAACTTGCTGTTGAAATGGAACACTCAGGATGAAACGGTGAAATCAGCTATGATTAAATGGGCACAAGATGTTGGACATAACATAATGATGGCTGACTGGGAACAGTTATGGACCACAGGTATGAAATTCACGGCATGTAATGCCCTAAGAGAAAATTTAATGAAGAGATAATTTAATGAAAATGATTTATAGGTGGTACATGACACCACTCAAGCTTGCAAAAATTTATCATTTGCCCAACAATAAAGTTGGAAATGTAATGAGACTGAAGGTACATTCTTTCACCTTTGGTGGACATGCCCAAGGATTAAGACATTCTGGGAGATAATTTATAATGAAATGAAAAAAGTATTCAAATATACCTTCCTGAAGAAACCAGAGGCCTTTCTCCTGGGCACGGTCGGCCAATTGGTGCCAAAGAAGGATAGAACATTTTTTATGTATGCAACAACAGCAGCAAGAATACTTATCGCGATATATTGGAAGACACAAGATTTACCCACCTGGGAAGAATGGCAGATGAAGTTGATGGGACTATATGGAACTGGCGGAAATGACTGGCAGAATCCGAGACCAGGGAGAAGAGTCGGTGGAAGAAGATTGGAAAAAGTTAAAAGATTATTTACAGAAATACTGTAAAATTAATGAATGTTAGAAAAATGTTGGAATGAAGTTATATGGCTTTAGTAGAAATGTTATAAGGAATTAAGTATAAATAGATTAATAGAATATTAAAGGAAAAAATAAGGTTAGAATGTGTTAAGATAATGATAGGATAGAAAACAGAGGAAGATGGAAAGGAATTGCTGAAACAATTAACAGAAGTGGAATACAAAAGGGAGGTGTGAGGAGGTTGTGGAAATAAGTGAATGAAAGATGGGATAATGAAATTGTTTGATTTATTAGATTGTTTTTGTTTTGTTTTGCTAGTTTAATGTGTCAATGTTATGTAGTGTTTTTGTATTGTATTGTTTTTGTAGTGTTTAAATTGTTGGAAAAGTAATAAATATTATTACTGGGTGGCCAAGGGCTTCTGGATATTCTAGCTCTGCTCCAACTGGGAATTATTTATTAAATTGTTATACCTCTCTTCATATGAAGATCACAAGATAAAAATATGTGTGACACTGAAAAAGATGAGTATTAAAGGTGAATAACACTGATTGTGGGAAAGAATAGAAAGAAGATGGAACCAGTGGTGTGTCCACCTGAATGTAATACAACAACAACAACAATGTGTAAAGAAGAAACCAATTTTCAAATCAGTTTCATATTCCCTGGCTGTATTTCTCAGCCACGATAGTGACTCAGAATCTTAGCCACACTTTTTTCTAGAATATCAACTGGATCTCTTTGTAATAGGAGCCAGACATCCCTGGGATTTCATCCAGACATTCCTTTAGTGTGGGCAGCAGCAGCAGCGGAGAAAGGAAGGAAGCAACTTTGGGGACAAACCATTTCCTTCAGAAGGTCTTCCCCAGCGGCCAGCAGGGTTGATAAACTGCTCAGTGGGGACACCTTGGATTTATAGTGTTAGGGTCTGGATACCAATCACAATCCCTTGGAAATGTCTCAAGAACCCTTAAGATCCAGTTCCACCAACTCCCAAGTAACACTGAGCCCTAGAGGAACCGTGTATACTGAGGTGAGGCACCTCTGGCCCTCCAGATGTGGTTGGACTCAAAGGACCACCTGCCCAAGCAAGGATGGCCCATGGCCAGGGAGGATGGGAGTCTTATCTGGTGGGACAAACTTTCCCCTTCTTCCCCCTCCTCTGAAAATGCTGAATATCTGTATTTCGTTTCCTCCTTCCTCCGTGATCTCCAACATCTTCCTGATACAGTCCAACCAACTGCACACATTCCCAAATCATCCTGCACCACTGACTTCCCGAGGCGGCTGCGTTGTGTCTAGGACACTGGCAATGGGACACCACCTTCCACTGGACGAGAGGATAGAGGGTTAAATCAGGGCTGGCCAAATGGGACTCAGCTCCGTCCCCTCCTTGCCCCTCCCTGCATCTCCTGCCTGAGGGGGCTGCAGTTTCCCTAGTGGGGGAGCAGGCCCTGAGAACAGCCTTCTCTCTTCCCCCAAAATACAGGAAACAGGACAAAGAAGGCGTAGGAGTATCACCGTGGAACATAACAACAACAACAACAACAACAATAATAATAATTTATTATTTGTACCCCGCCCATCTGGCTGGGTTTCCCCAGCCACTCTGGGTGGCTTTCAAGAGAACACTAAAATACAATAAGCTATTAAACATTAAAGGCTTCCCTAAACAGGGCTGCCTTCAGATGTCTTCTAAAAGTCTGGTAGTTCTTTTTCTCTTTGACATCTGATGGGAGGGTGTTCCACAGGGCGGGTGCCACCACCGAGAAGGCCCTCTGCCTGGTTCCCTGTAACCTCACTTCTCGCAGCAAGGGAACCGCCAGAAGGCCCTCGGAGCTGGACCTCAGTGTCCAGGCAGAATGATGGGGGTGGAGACGCTCCTTCAGGTATACTGGACCGAGGCCGTTTAGGGCTTTAAAGGTCAGCACCAACACTTTGAATTGTGCTTGGAAACGTACTGGGAGCCAATGTAGGTCTTTCAAGACCGGTGTTATGTGGTCTCGGCAGCCGCCCCCAGTCACCAGTCTAGCTGCCGCATTCTGGATTGGTTGCAGTTTCCGGGTCACCTTCAAAGTTAGCCCCACGTAGAGCGCATTGCAGTAATCCAAGCGGGAGATAACTAGAGCATGCACCACTCTGGTGACACAGTCCGCGGGCAGATAGGGTCTCAGCCTGCGTACCAGATGGAGCTGCCCTGGACACAGAACTGACCTGCGCTTCCATGGACAGCTGTGAGTCCATAATGACTCCCAGGCTGCGCACCTGGTCCTTCAGGGGCACAGTTACCCCATTCAGGACCAGGGAATCCTCGACACCTGCCCGCCCCCTGTCCCCCAAAAACAGTACTTCTGTCTTGTCAGGATTCAACTTCAAACAACAACAACAACAACAACAACAACAACTGGTTGTAAGTCCCTTTGGGCTGCCCAGGGCAAGAGAAAGAGACTAATAGATTAAATAAACAAAGAACAATAACTGAAACTGCAGCACAGTGGTACCTCGGGTTAAGAACTCAATTCGTTCCGGTGGTTGAGAAAGTGTTCTTAACATAATGGGGCCTCCTGCTGCTGCCGCGCCGCTGGACCACAATTTCTGTTCTCATCCTGGGTTAGCGGAGTCTGTAACCTGAAGCGTATTTAACCTGAGGTACCACTGTAATGGGACGCGGGTGACGCTGTGGGTAAAAGCCTCAGCGCCTAGGGCTTGCCGATCGAAAGGTCGGCGGTTCGAATCCCCGCGGCGGGGTGCGCTCCCGCTGCTCGGTCCCAGCGCCTGCCAACCTAGCAGTTCGAAAGCACCCCCGGGTGCAAGTAGATAAATAGGGACCGCTTACCAGCGGGAAGGTAAACGGCGTTCCGTGTGCTGTGCTGGCTCGCCAGATGCAGCGTTGTCACGCTGGCCACGTGACCCGGAAGTGTCTCCGGACAGCGCTGGCCCCCGGCCTATAGAGTGAGATGAGCGCACAAACCCCAGAGTCTGGCAAGACTGGCCCGTTCGGGCAGGGGTACCTTTACTTTTACCTTTACCACTGTAATAATAATAAGGCAGCCTCTTGAGGGGGGCACGGGAACCCACCCATTTCCATAACAATCTTCCCCATCCCTTAAATCCCACAGATTTAAGAGATCTGATATAGTGGGAATACTGGAAACCAGGTGAGAAGG